AGCACATTATCATTGATCAGTTTTCTATAGAAAACTTTATAATCTACCACTTTTCTATAGATAACTTTATCATTGATCTATTTTTAATAGAACACTTAACAGTTTTCTATAGAAAACTTAAACATCTAACAGTTTTCTATAGAAAACAATATTATCGACCACTTTTCTATAGATAACTTTAGTTTTCTATAGAAAACTTGATCCCCGATCAGTTCTTAATAGAACACTTTATCATCGATCAGATTTTATAAAAAAAAACTTTATATTCGATCACTTTTCTATAGAAAACTTTATCATCGATCAGTTTTTAATAGAACATTTTATAATCGATCACTTTTCTGTAGAAAACTTTATCATCGATCACTTTTCTATAGAAAACTTTATCATCGATCACTTTTCTATAGAAAACTTTATCATCGATCACTTTTCTATAGAAAACTTTATCATCGATCACTTTTCTATAGAAAACTTTATCATCGATCACTTTTCTATAGAAAACTTTATCATCGATCACTTTTCTATAGAAAACTTTATCATCGATCACTTTTCTATAAAAAACTTTATCATCGATCACTTTTCTATAGAAAACTTTATCATCGATCAGTTTTTAATAGAACATTTTATAATCGATCACTTTTCTATAGAAAACTTTATCATCGATCACTTTTTTATAGAAAACTTTATCATCGATCACTTTTCTATAGAAAACTTTATCATCGATCACTTTTCTATAGAAAACTTTATCATCGATCACTTTTCTATAGAAAACTTTATCATCGATCACTTTTCTATACAAAACCTTATCATCGATCAGTTTTCTATAGAAAACTTTATCATCGATCAGTTTTCTATAGAAAACTTTATCATCTATCAGTTTTCTATAAAAAACTTTATCATCGATCAGTTTTCTATAGAAAACTTTATCATCGATCAGTTTCTAATAGAAAACTTTATCATCTATCAGTTTTCTATAGAAAACTTCAACATCGAGTAGTTTTCTATAGAAAACTTTATAAACGATCAGTTTCTATAGAAAACTTTATAAACGATCAGTTTTCTATAGCAAACTTTACAAACGATCAGTTTTCTATAGAAAACTTTATAAACGATCAGTTTTCTATAGAAAACTTTATCAACGATCAGTTTTCTATAGGAAACTTTATCAACGATAAATTTTCTATAGAAAACTTTATCAACAATCAGTTTTCTATAGAAAACTTTATCAACGATCAGTTTTCTATAGAAAACTTTATCAACGATCAGTTTTCTGTAGAAAATTTTATCAACGATCAGTTTTCTATATAAAACTTTATCGTCGATCAGTTTTCTATGGAAACTTTATCAACGATCAGTTTTCTATAAAAAAAACTTTATCAACGATCAGTTTCTATAAAAAAACTTTATCATCGATCAGTTTTCTATAGAAAACTTGATCATCAATCGGTTTCTAATAGAAAACTTGATCATCAATCAGTTTCTAATAGAAAACTTTATCATCGATCAGTTTTCTATAGAAAACTTGATCATCGATCAGTTTCTAATAGAAAACTTTATCATCGATCAGTTTTCTATAGAAAACTTTATCATCGATCAGTTTTCTATAGAAAACTTGATCATCGATCAGTTTCTAATAGAAAACTTTATCATCGATCAGTTTTCTATAGAAATCTTTATCATCGATCAGTTTTCTATAGAAAACTTTATCATCGATCAGTTTTCTACAGAAAACTTAATCATCGATCAAACTTTATTAAACTTTATTATCGATCAGTTTTTTTATAGAAAACTTTATCAAGTTCAGGACTGACAAATAGTTGCATTACTACGAATAGTATTTTTTGAATCCCTTTAAAAATTTTTAAATTTGCTGCAATATCAATTAAACTTTTACATCCAATAATTCTCACGCTTATTTTGTCCATTTTGTATCTCTAAGCTGGGCAGCTTTAATTTATCTTAAAATTTTCATTAAAACATATTTATTTACTAATTAACTGGGTGTGAGTCAATTTGTTTTCCTAATGAGCGAAATAGTACATTAAATGCATTTCTTAATTAACATTTGCTAATCCCAACTAATTGCTAATTTCTCTGTTTTTAATAAATTTTATATAAAATAAAAGCAACAAGAAAATAACTTCCAACTGACATCTCAAAAACTAATCCATCAACATCAATCAGCCATCAATTAGATTGACAAATCTGTCTTGAAACCTTAAAGAAAATGTTTAAACGCAAAAATACTTCAATAACGGTAATCTACTAACTTAATGAAAAAAAGTTATTAATACAAAATGTGTGACAAGATAATTACACAAATCATATTTTTAGCATTAAATAAAAATTACATTTAAATTTTTTTAATATTTTTTTTAACTTAAATTTCCTTAAAATTAAAACAAAAATAAAACTTTAATACAAACGTAAAACCCCCGACTTAAACCTCAAACACTCACAAAAATCCCCAAACAATTTTTATAATAATTAATTTATAACAAATAATTTCGTTTAATAAGTAATCACAAATAATTTAATCTTGTATATGTAACAATTTCATTTAGTAGCTTAATATTATAGCGTTGATTCGGCGGCCTACTACGTGTTGCTACTACTATTACATTTGTCATAAAATATTTCGAATTCATTTTAACTGGCGGCTAGAGCCGCAAAAATTGTGTGCGGCATAGAGTCTTTGTATTTGTTATTGCAATCAATACTTTCGTTATTATTATTATTTAATGTATTTATTTGTTTATTGTTCAATTTTGTGGTTTTAATTTAAAATGTATTTTTGAATGGAAATTTTGCTAAAAAAAAAAGAATGTGGTTGCGTTCACAAATGAATTTGTTTTGGATTTCTATAGTAATTATGTTTTAATTACAAATTTAAGCTTAAGACGACAAGTAATTGTAAAGATAAATATGTAAATATTTCCTGGAATATAAAGCGAACTAGATTATTAGCATATGGGAAATATTCAATAAATCACTCAAGAAGTGAGTCAAAATCAGTTACTAAAAGTTGATAAAGAAAGAATATTTGAATTTCATATTAAAGGTTTATTTTTAAAACGGAAATTTTATTAAAAAACAAAAAGACAATAGACTTTTGATAAGATTTATATAGACTAGTCCATAGAGTCTATGGAATATACGCATCCATAGGCCAGCCCCTAATCAAGTTTATATACTTGTATAAAAAATAATCCATAAATTTGTTCATATTGGTATCTATATGCTAGTCCAAAGACTTGTCCATATATTAGTCCATAGACTAGTCTACAGATTAGTCCCTTGACTTGTTAATAAACTAATCTAGAGGCTAGTTAATAGACTAATCCATAGTCTAGTACATAGACTTATTAATAAACTAGTCTATAGAACTGTTCATAGACTTGATTATAATCTTGTCAATAGACTTGTCTACGAACTTGTCTACAGACTTGTTCATAGATTTTTCTATAGACCTGTCCTTACAGACGTCTATAGACTAGTCCATAAATTGACTAGTACATAGACTTATCTATAGACTATTCTGTAGCATATTCCATAGACTACTATATAGACTGTGTAATAGACTAATTAATAGATTAGACTTGTCTATTGACTAGTCAATAGGCTTGTCTATAGAATTGTCCATTAACTTATCTATATACTACACTATAGACTTTTCTATAGACTACTCTATAAACCTATCCATTGACTAATCCATAAACTTGCCTAAAGAACATAGACTCGTCTAATCCTTGTCTACATACTAGTCCCTTGACTTGTCTATAGACTAACCCATAGACTATTCAATAGTCTTGCTTATATACTGGATTAAGAACTAGTCCATAGTCCTAACTATAAACTAGATTAAAGACTAGTCCATAGACTTCACTATAGTCTAGTCCATAGACTATATATTAGTCCACATACCTGTCTATAGATTACTCCATAGACTTGTCTAATCCTTGTCTATATACTAGTCCCTTGACTTGTCTATACACTAGTATATACTATATAGTCTAGTCCATTGTCTATATACTATATAGTCTAGTCCATAGACTTATATATAAACTGGTTTATGGACTAGTCCATAATCCTAACAACAGACTAAACTTAGACTTGACTGTAGTCCATAGACTTATCTATATACTACACCATAAACTTCTCTTTAGTATTTGGACTAGACTATAGACTTAACTATATACTAGTACATAGACTTGGCTATAGAGTGTTCTATAGACTTGACTATAGACTAGTCCATAGACTTGACTATAGGCTTGTCCATTGGATTAACTATATAGTAGGTTCATATACTAATCCATAGACTCGTCTATGGACTACTCCATAGACTTCTGTCTAATCCTTGTCTATATACTAGTCCTTTCACTTGTCTATAGACTAATCTAGACATCTCTATAGAATAGTTCATAAAATTGACTATAGACTAGTCCATAGGCTTGACTATAGAATAGTTCATAGACTTGATTACAGACTAGTCCATAGACTTGACTATAGGCTAGTTCATAGATTTCACTATAGGCTTGTCAATTGTCTTGACTATATAGTAGTCCATAGACTAATACATAGACTTGACTGTAGACTATGTATTAGACTGTCTATATACTAGTCACTTCAATGGTCTATAAACTAATCTAGACTTGCCTATAGAAGTTCATATTCTTAACTATATATATAGGCTAATCCATAGACTTAATACTGAGAAGTCTATAGACTTGACTATAGACAAAACCATAAACTTAACTCTAGACAAATCCAAAGACCTTTCTATTGACTAGTTCCTTTTTTAAAAGTTTGCGAATTACCTTCAATTCAGACTGTCTGATCATTATAGTTTAACATAAATTAATAATCGTTTAAGATGTCATTTTGTGTCGCATGTTAAATAAATTGTTAAAGAAATTTTCTCACCACTCCACATTAATTTATTACAGAACACAATTAATTAAACAATTTTTTTTTTTTTTTTTTTGTTCTTTTTCATCTTACAGGTGAACGTTATGATTTTATTATAACAGCCGATCAACCAGTTGGTGCTTATTGGATACAATTGAGAGGTTTGGGTGAATGTGGTATCAGACGTGCACAACAATTGGCCATATTGCGTTATGCTCGCGGACCCTATCAACCAGCATCAGCGCCACCAACTTATGATGTTGGCATACCACAGGGTGTGGTAAGTAAAAAAAAAACAATTTGTTCTTTTTTTCTTAAATAATTAAATTAATATGTATAACAAAATGTAGTAAATAATTTAGATTAGAACTAGTTGTCTATGTAGGTAAAGTTAAACTAAGCATAAATAGTATTCAAATTGCAAAAAAACAAAATGTTGTTGGCAACTATAAAGGTTTCAGAAAAAACATTAAATAGTTGATAGTTTATAGTTAATAGAATAATAGCTTAATTGTTGTTTAAAGTTATGTTTAGATTTTTTTTACCGTTAGAGTAGGATTCGTTGAAGTATTTATTGCTAAATCATTGATTTTGTTTAAAAGAGCAGTTTTATCTTTTAACGTGGGCTTAAATTGTTAATAATTTATTTCGTTTAACAATTTTATAGTTTTGAGGGAAAAACAAATCGTTATCTACTAAAGTTTGGCTAAATTTTGTGAATTTTAAGGCATTTATTGTTAATAAAATTGATTAGATCAGCTGGTAAATGATGTTTAATATAATGGCAGCCTATAAAGTTAGACACCTTCTACCTACATTAGGTTTAATTTAAGTTATTTTGTTGATTACTTGTATTTCATTTCATTTATATTAACGAAGAGTTTGAAATCATTTTAAACTATAGTTTAAAGGTAAGTACTGGTTTTCATTTCATTTTTATTAAAAGTTTAAGTTTTGTTAAAAAAATTAAAGATAATGTAAATATTTGAATGAAGATAACATGACTGTACATTATACTATATAGACTAGTAGTCTATGAACTAGTTTATGAACAGGTCTATTGACTATTCTAAGGACTAGTCTGTTAACTAGTCTAGTCTCTTGATTAGTTTGTTGAATAGTGTACAGACTAGACCTTTAACTGGTCTATGGACTAGGCTATATATTAATCTATTAACTAGTCTATGGACTAGTCTATTGGCAAGTCTATGGACTATTCTATGGATCAATTTATTGACTTCATTAGTTTGTTGAACAGTCTACAGAATAGTGCCTTGACTAGTCTATAGACTATTCGATTAGATTAGTCTATTGACTAATCTATAGATCATTCTATTGAACTAGTCTATGGACTAGTGTATTGACTAGTCCATGGAATAATACACTGACTAGTCTATTGCCTAGTCTGTTGAATAGTCTACTGACTAGTCCTTAGACAAGTCTATCAACAAGCACATATGTAGATTAGTCTATTGACTCTAACTGGTCTGTGGTCTACTGACTGGTCCTTTGACTAGTCTATGAACTAGGCTATAGATAAGTCTATAGATTAGTCTATTGACTAGCTATAGACTAGTCTATGGACTAGACTAATGAGTCTACGCTATGGACTAATGACTCGTCTATTGACTAGTCTATGGACTAATCCGTTGACTAGTCTCTTGATTAGTTTTTTGAATAGTCTATAGACTAGTCCTTTGACTAGTCTATGGACTAGGCTATAGATTAGTCTTTTGACTAGACTATGGACTAGTCTATTGACTAGTCTATGGACTATTCTATGGACCAATTTATTGACTTGATTAGTTTGTTGAATAGTCTACAGAGTAGTCCTTTGACTAGTCTATAGACTGTGCTATATATTAGTCTATTGACTAATCTATGGACTAGTCTATGGAATGGTACACTGACTGGTCTATTACCTAGTCTGTTGAATAGTCCACTGACTAGTCCTTAGACTAGCCTATGAACTAGGATATAGTTTAGTCTTTGGACTCTATTAACTGGTCTGTTGTCTAATATATTATCTACGCTATGGACTACTGACTAGTCTATCAACTAGGCTATAGATTAGTCTATTGACTATTATATTATCTAGACTATGGAATGGTCAATTGACTAGCCTATAGACTAGTTTATTGACGAATATATGGACAAGTCTATTGACTATCGTATGGACTAGTCAATGGACTAGTCTTTTGATTAGTGTGTTTAATAGTCTAGTGACTAATCTGGGGACTAGGCCACTGGACAAGTATATTGACTATTCTATTGTCTAGACTATGGACTAGTCTATGGACTAGTCTCTTGGCTAGTCTATGGACTGGTCTCTTGGCTAGTCTATGGACTGGTCTATTGAGTAGTCTATGGACTAGACTATCGATTATTCTATTGACTAGTCTATGGACAGTTCTATGGACTAAGCTTTTGATTAGTCTCTTGATTAGTTTGTTGAATAGTCTGCAGACCAATCCTTTGATTAGCCTATAGATTTGTCTATTGACTAGTCTATGGACTAGTATATAGATCATTCTATTGAGTAGTCTATGGACTGGTGTATTGACTAGTCTATGGAATGGTTTAATGACTAGTCTATTGACTAGTCTGTTGAATAGTCTACTGACCCGTCTATGAATTAGGATATAGATTAGGCTATGGACTCGTTTTCTAAATGGTCTGTCTCCTAATCTAGTATATGGGCTAGGCTATAGATTAGTCTATTGACACTTCTCTTATCTAGACTATGGAACGGTCAATTGACTAGTCTATGGACTAGTTTATCGACTAGTCTATGGACTAATATTGATTAGTATATTGAATAGTCTACTCAATAGTCTTTTGACTAGTCTATAGACTTGGCTAGAAAATAGTCTATTGTCTAGTCCATTAACTAATCTATTGACTACTCTATTGTCTTGACTATGAACTAGTCTATTGATTAATCTATTGACTAGTCCATGAACTGGTCTGTTTTCTAGTCTATGGACATGACTATATACTAATCTATGGAGAAATATATTGTCTATTCTATGGTATACTCCATAACCTAGTCTATTGTAGTCTATGAACTAGTCTATTCTAGACTTTTGATTAGTCTAAGCACCACTCTATGGATTTATCTATGGCTAGTCTAGACACTAATGCATGGCTAGTTTATGAACTAGTATATCACCTAGTTTATAAGCTATTCTATTAACTTGTCTATGAACTATTCTATTGGCTTGTTTATTGACAATTCTATGGACTGGTCAATATCGGAAATTTTGATAAATTTAGCAAATATTTTCTCTAAATTTAATATTCAATATTTACATTATCTTTAAAAACTTTATTATTTATTATTTAATAATAATTAATTATAATTTTGTAAATATTTTCAATAAAAAACCTTGTATAAAAATACTTTTTAAAAACCTTTTTAAATATTTATTTTTAAAAAACAATATTTTTCTTTTTTAATTCCATGTAAAATATAAACCACCTTTACCACAACTACCAACCAACACCAAATAAAATAAAAAACCTTAAACCCTATTGTAAAATAATAATAAAAAAAAACCCACCTATTATTACCAACACCCCTACAACACCTGAAAAACGGTGATTGTTGTAAAAAAATATATAAAAATCAAACCATGTAAATATGCACTAAATGCTTTTTTCCAAAAAAAAAAACCCAAATGAAAATGTGTAAAAATTATACAAAAAAACCAAAACTGGCTATAAATTGCACTAAAACTTGAACCATAAACCCTTTTACCCTATATACAAAAATTTTGTTAAAAACAAAGGTTATGAATCCTTTGGATGCCCAATGTAATACCCAACGTAATGATGCCATTTGTGTAAGTCAATTGAAAAATGCTTTGGAAATTGATCGTGGCATTTTGGCGGAAAAACCCGATGTAAAAATCTTCTTGCCCTTCCGTTTCTATTTGTATAGACCCGAAGAGCTGTTCCAGCCTAACACCTATAACAGATTTTGGGTAAGTGGAGGGGAGGTTAAAGTAAATCTTAGTTTCTTTATTAATATTTCTTTTTTATTTTAGTCGCTCCCACTGGTGATCATGTTATTTCATTGATCGATGAAATTTCTTATTTATCGGCTCCTGCACCCTTAACTTCTCAATTCAATGATATTAATCCCGAACAGTTTTGTAACGGTGATAATAGACCAGCTGATTGTGGTCCTAATTGTATGTGTACCCATAAAATCGATATACCCTTGAATGCTGTTGTTGAAGTTGTTCTGGTAGATGAAGGTAAGTGTCTTAACATGAATACCCTTAATATTGCAAATCAATATATGCAAGTTCCTTCCTTTTTAAGTAAAAAACAATAAAAACAACAAAACTTAATAAAACAATTGTACATAATTACACCCCCGCGTTACAGCAAAAAGGTAACAATTTTTAAATGTTTCCGTTGCCCTAACAAAAAAAACTCAATAGCAACAACTAAATACAAACATTAAAAGAAATAAACTCCAACGCATTTTCCATTGTTGAGTTTTAAAAATAATAAAATAAATTTTCGCCGAAAAATTACAATACTGTCTAACACTTAGAAAGAAATAATCATAGCGTACAGTTGGAAAAAAAAGCAAAACAAAACACAACTTTAATCTAAAAGAACCAACACATTTTTTGTTTAAATAACTATAATTTATATGTATATTATTATTGCCGGTCATTTAATATTACGAGTATGATTGTTTTTTGGTTTTTTATATAGTTATAAACAAAAAAAGTTTTTTCTTAGGTTTCTGATTGAAAAAACTAAATAAATAAAATCTATAATTTTCCAAACAATATGAAAAGTATATGAAGTTAGGAGGTACTAAAATGCAAAGTGCTCTAGTTTAACTGAACAGCAATAAAAACACTACTACCAGGGGATTATTGACTATGGTTTGTTAGAAAACCAAACCCAGTTTTATTTTAAAGAGTTTAAAAAAAATAACTATATAAACAATATAAAGTTTATATTATAAACATTTGTTATTGGGTAGGGTGAGAATTAAAGTTTAAGTTAGTTTTGTTTTGAAAAAAAAACTTCCAGAGGTAAAGGAGGTCATGTTTAAAGGAAGAAATAATACGAACTATATAAATAGTACTCAATATGATAGAAGAAGTAAAATTAGAAATATCTAGAAACCAAGAATGTCTCATTTGAATCAGGGCTGGAAAAATCAATAATATTTAAATTTTTGAGTACTTTTTGATATAGAAAAATACCGAATCACTTATGACTTGTATACTAGTCAATAGACTAGTTCATAGACTATCATAGACTGATTAGATAATATACTAATCCATAGACTAGTAGTCTATAGACCAAAGGCTAGTCAGTAGTCTATGAACTAGTCTGTTGACTAGTCTATGGACTAATCTGTGGACAAGTCTGACTTATATATGGACTAGTCAATGTACTAGTCTATTGATTAGTATGTTGAATAGTCTACTGACTAGTTTATTGGCTAGTCTATGGGCTAGGCTAAATATTAAGTCTATGGACAAGTATATGGATGATCTATTCTAGTCTATTGATTAGTATGTTGAATAGACTACTGACTAGTTTATTGGCTAGACTATGGACTTTTCTATTCACTAGTCTATGGGCTATTCTATTAATTAGTCTATGGACAAGTCTATGGACTACTATTGATTAGTATATTGAATAGTCTACTGAGCAGTATTTTGACTAGTCTATGGACTAGGCTAAAAACTACTCTATTGTCTAGTCCATAGACTGGTCTATTGACTACTCTATTGTCTTCAATATGGACTAGTCTATTGTATTCTATGGATTAGTATATTCTAGTCTATTGATTAGTATGTTGAATAGACTACTGTCTAGTCTATTGTCTAGTCTATAGACTAGGCTATATATTAGTCTATTGACTAGTCTATGCATTAGTCTGTTAACTAGTCAATGGACAAGTATATTGATTAATTTATGGACTGGTCTATTCTAGTCCTATTGATTAGTATGTTGAATAGTCTGTTGATAATTCTATGGACTTTTCAATTCACTAGTTTATGGATTATTCTATTAATTAGTCTATGGACTAGTCTGTCCACTAGTCTATCGACTAGTCAATGGACTACTATTGAATAGTACCTTGATTAGAGTTATCAATACCCTGACCTCTAGGGTTGGATCAAAAGAGATTTTGTAAAGGCATTTAAAGGTGATTGTATTAAGTTACAATAGTTCAAAGTTTTAGGTTGTTTTAAAATATTAGTTAGTTAGTTAGTTAGTTAGTTAGTTAGTTAGTTTGTTAGTTAGTAGTTAGTTAGTTAGTTAGTTAGTAGTAGTTAGTTAGTTAGTTAGTTAGTTAGTTAGTTAGTTAGTTAGTTAGTTAGTTAGTTAGTTAGTTAGTTAGTTAGTTAGTTAGTAGTTAGTTAGTTAGTTAGTTAGTTAGTGTTAGTTAGTTAGTTAAGTTAGTGTTAGTTAGTTAGTTAGTTAGTTAGTTAGTTAGTTAGTTAGTTAGTTAGTTAGTTAGTAGTTAGTTAGTTAGTTAGTTAGTTAGTAGTAGTAGTTAGTAGTTAGTTAGTTAGTAGTTAGTTAGTTAGTTAGTTAGTTAGTTAGTTAGTTAGTTAGTTAGTTAGTTCGTTAGTTAGTTAGTTAGTAGTTAGTTAGTAGTTAGTTAGTTAGTTAGTTAGTTAGTTAGTTAGTTAGTTAGTTAGTTAGTTAGTTAGTTAGTTAGTTAGTTAGTTAGTTAGTTAGTAGTTAGTTAGTTAGTTAGTTAGTAGTTAGTTAGTTAGTTAGTTAGTTAGTTAGTTAGTTAGTTAGTTAGTTAGTTAGTAGTTAGTTAGTTAGTTAGTTAGGTTAGTTAGTAGTTAGTAGTTAGTTAGTTAGTTAGTTAGTTAGTTAGTTAGTTAGTTAGTTAGTTAGGTAGTTATTGTTAGTTAGTTAGTTAGTTAGTTAGTTAGTTAGTTAGTAGTTAGTTAGTTAGTTAGTTAGTTTAGTTAGAGTTAGTTAGTTAGTTAGTTAGTTAGTTAGTTAGTTAGTTAGTTAGTGTTAGTTAGTTAGTAGTTAGTTAGTTAGTAGTTAGTTAGTTAGTTAGTTAGTTAGTTAGTTAGTTAGTTAGTTTAAATTAAAGCTTCCCTGGTGGTAGTGCTAAACCTGTTCCACAATTCCGATACATTTCCTAATAATCCCTTGTTTTAGGGACATCCCCTACGCTTATCTTTAGATCAGTTCAGAGACGTTTTAAAGACTTTCAAAATTATGTCAACTGATACCTTCTTAACAGACCTTTTAACAGCAAACTCAACTAAATTTTAACCAAAACTTTTATATAATCTCTTGTTTTTAACCTTTTTCTTTTAGTCCAACAACCCAACTTGTCACATCCCTTCCATTTGCACGGTTACGGTTTCAGTGTAGTGGGTATTGGTCGTTCGCCCGATACTAATGTCAAGAAGATTAACTTGAAACATGCCTTGGATTTGGATAGACGTGGTCTCTTGCACAGACAATACAATTTGCCACCCACCAAAGATACCATTGCGGTGCCAAACAATGGTTATGTGGTACTAAGATTTAGAGCTGATAATCCTGGTAAGTTGGAAGTGAAAGCAATTGTTTATCTATGGCTATAACATTTATTTTCTTTGTTTTTCTAGGTTTCTGGCTATTCCATTGTCATTTCTTGTTCCATATTGTTATTGGTATGAATTTGATTTTGCAAGTGGGTACAAATGCCGATTTGCCACCAATACCACCAGGTTTCCCCACATGTGGTGATCACACGCCTCCTATACCTATTAATTAAATACTTTAATTAAACTAATTAAAACTACCAATTAAAACAAAAAAAAAAACTTATAACAACACAAAAACTAAACTAAATAACAACTAATAGGTGTTAGAGAAAATGATTGACAACAAATAAGATTTTCCCTAAAACGAAAAAAGACATTTGTTGCAGCAATACCATATAACAAATCGAATCATTTTCTAGAGAACACACATGTACAAAGTTTTTAGAAGACATAGACAACAAATAAAAATGTATTATAAATAACTGAAAAAAAAAACTTGAACGAAAAAACTAGAAAAATATCTAAGCAGAAATTTTAAATAAGCTTTAAAGCTTGTTTAAGCTTTAAGCTTAGCGCCTATTTAGGTGTAAATAATGAACATACTCCACTGACTATACAATTATGTATTTGAAATTATTTTATAACTATTATTATTTGCGCTTAAGAAATATATCGGAAGCCTTGTTTTACTCAACCAAGGCTTAATATAAAGCTTAAATATAAACAACTTTAGCTACTTGTAAAAAAAGCCATTTATAACAGAACACAAAGCTGTTTTTATTTAAGCTTTAGCAGCCATTTTTAAAAAGGTTTTTCTTATATATTTTTAAAAAAAACTTTAAGGAAATTATTTATAATTATTTCCCAGCGCAATAGTCATAAAACTATGAATTATTTTTTAAACATTTTTTAACTCGAGTACACTTTACCACAAAATATAGTTAATTTTTATTTTTTCAAAAATATTAAAAAAAATTCTTTTGTTTGTAAATTAAGAAAATTTTCTTTACTTTTATAATAATTTGTCCCTTTTCTAATTTTTATTTGTATGTATTAATTGCAAAATTTTCTTTTCCCATTTTTTTCTCTCTGTGTATAGTTTCTGTTAAGTAATTTGTACTTGTATGTATTTTTTTTTTTTTTTTGCTCTTAGTGTATATTTTATTATTTAAATTTTTAAATACAGAACTGCAATAGTTTATGTTTATTAATAATTATTTTTTTTTTTTTTTTAAGTTTTTTACTTTTGTAAAAAATGTTTAAAAATATTATAACCCTTAAAATACTCCTTCCTTTTTTGCCTATTTTTCCTTAAATTGTTTGTATTAATTTTCGTTTAATTTTTGCACCGCTTATTTAAATGTTAATTTTTTTTATTATTTTTTTATGTTTCTTTTGAAAAATGTTAATAATTTAAACAAAAAAAAAAAAAGAAAAAATCAAATGAGTTAATTGTATAAAGACATGAAAATATTAAATATTATTATATTTTTATACGAATATTACTGCCGTTAATATTAAATTTAATTATTTTTAAAATAAAATAAAAACAAAATAAATTATATTAAAAAAACAACATCATAAATCGTTTAAGTTTGCACCCTAATATACTATGTTTATTGTAAATACAAATACAATTACAATAATTATTAAGTTAGTTAATAAGATTAATGTTACCCTCTTCCCGAGACCTTAATCTTGTTTTAATTGAAATTTACTAAATTATCTAGTGTTAATAATTTTATATTAAAATAAGCCATTGCTAGACCTAAAATGATGTTTATAAATAACAGGGATGGAAAATGTAATACTATTGAACTCTTTTCAGTAGTTTTTAACATCTCGATATATGAAATAAATGTTCTACATACTTGTCCCAATACCAGACAATAGATTTAACAATAACGCAGTCACTAGACTAGTCCACAGACTAATCAGTGGAGCTGTCTTTAGACAAGTCTCTAAACTAGTATATATGTATACTAGACTATAATAGCCAAATCTTTAGACTAGTTAGTAGACTAGTCTTTACACTAGTCCATAGTCTAATTCATAGACATGTCAATAGATAGTCGATAGACTGAACCACGGATTAGTCAATATACTTGTCAATAACTAGTCCTTAGACTAGACCATACACTAGTCAATATATTAATTAACAGGCTAGTTATAGATTAGTACATTGACTAGCCAATGAACTTAACAATAGGTTAGCATATAGATAGGTCAATAGCCTAGTTCATAACACATCAAAACACTAGTCAATAGATCTGTATATGGACTAGTTAATAGACTATACTGTAGCATAATCAGTAGACTTGTTACCAGACATGTCATAAAACTAGGTATTTAACTAGTTCCGAGAATAATCTTGTCTACCGAGTTGTCTACAGAGCAGGCATGGAAAATTCAGTACATTTTGACAACGAAAAATACGATAGTACTCCCAGGACAATTTCGGTACTTTTTCTAATTTATAAACTTATAAACAAAGTAGTCTATTGTCTAGTCTAGTCTGTAGTCTTGTCTATAGTTTAGTCTATAGTCTAGTCTATAGTTTAGTCTATAGTTAAGTCTACAGTTTAGTCTATAGTCTAGTCTATATTCCAGTCTATAGTCTAGTCTATAGTCTAGTCTATAGTCTACTCTATGGTCTAGTCTATAGTCTAGTCTATAGTCTAGTCTATAGTCTAGTCTATAGGCTAGTCTATAGTCTAGTCTATAGGCTAGTCTATAGTCTATTCTATATTCTAGTCTATAGTTTACTCTATAGTCTAGTCTATAGTCTACTCTATAGTCTAGTCTATAGTCTTGTCTGTAGTCTAGTCTATAGTCTAGTATATAGTCTAGTCCTATAGTCTAGTCTATAGTCTAGCTTATAGTATAGTCCTATAGTTCAGTCTAGTTTATAGTCTAGACTATAGTCTAACCTATAGTCTAGTCTAGCTTATAGTCTAGTCTATAGTCTAGCCTATAGTCTAGCCTTAGTCTAGTCTATAGTCTAGACTAGACTTTATAGTCTAGTTTATAGTTTAGCTTATAATCTAGTCTATAGTCTAGTCTATAATATAGTCTATAGTCTAGTCTATAGTCTAGTGTATAGTCTTCTCTATAGTGTAGTCTAGTCTACAGTCTAGTCTAGTATATAGTCTTCTCTATAGTGTAGTCTAGTCTATAGTCTAGTCTATAGTCTAGTCTATAGTCTAGTCTATAGTCTAGTCTATAGTCTAGTCTATAGTCTAGTCTATAGTCTAGTCTATAGTCTAGTCTATAGTCTAGTCTATAGTCTAGTCTATAGTCTAGTCTATAGTCTAGTCTATAGTCTAGTCTATAGTCTAGTCTATAGTCTAGTCTATAGTCTAGTCTATAGTCTAGTCTATAGTCCAGTCTATAGTCTAGTCTATAGTCTAGTCTATAGTCTAGTCTATAGGCTAGTCTATAGTCTAGTCTATAGTCTAGTCTATAGTCTAGTCTAGAGTCTAGTCTATCGTCTAGTCTATCGTCTAGTCTATAGTATAGTCTATAGTATAGTCTAGTCTATAGCCTAGTCTATAGTCTAGTCTATAGTCTAGTCTATAGTCTAGTCTATAGTCTAGTCTATAGTCTAGTTTAGTCTATAGTCTAGTTTAGTCTATAGTCTAGTTTAGTCTATAGTCTAGTTTAGTACTATAGTCTAGTCTAGCCTATAGTCTAGTCTATAGTCTAGTCTATAGTCTAGTCTATAGTCTAGTCTATAGTCTAGTCTATAGTTAGTCTATAGTCTAGTATAGTCTAGTCTATAGTCTAGTCTATAGTCTAGTCTATAGTCTAGTCTATAGTCTAGTCTATAGTCTAGTCTATAGTCTAGTCTAGTCTAGTCTATAGTCTAGTCTAGTCTAGTCTATAGTCTAGTCTATAGTCTAGTCTATAGTCTATAGTCTAGTCTAGTCTATAGTCTAGTCTATAGTCTATAGTCTAGTCTAGTCTATAGTCTAGTCTATAGTCTAGTCTATAGTCTAGTCTATAGTCTAGTCTATAGTCTAGTCTATAGTCTAGTCTATAGTCTAGTCTATAGTCTAGTCTATAGTCTAGTCTATAGTCTAGTCTATAGTCTAGTCTATAGTCTAGTCTATAGTCTAGTCTATAGTCTAGTCTATAGTCTAGTCTATAGTCTAGTCTATAGTCTAGTCTATAGTCTAGTCTATAGTCTAGTCTATAGTCTAGTCTATAGTCTAGTCTATAGTCTAGTCTATAGTCTAGTCTATAGTCTAGTCTATAGTCTAGTCTATAGTCTAGTCTATAGTCTAGTCTATAGTCTAGTCTATAGTCTAGTCTATAGTCTAGTCTATAGTCTAGTCTATAGTCTAGTCTATAGTCTAGTCTATAGTCTAGTCTATAGTCTAGTCTATAGTCTAGTCTATAGTCTAGTCTATAGTCTATTCTATAGTCTATTCTATAGTATAGTCTATAGTCTAGTCTATAGTCTAGTCTATAGTCTATTCTATAGTCTATTCTATAGTCTAGTCTATAGTCTAGTCTATAGTCTAGTCTATAGTCTAGTCTATAGTATAGATAGTATAGTCTATAGTCTAGTCTATAGTCTAGTGTATAGTCTAGTCTATAGTCTAGTCTATAGTCTAGTCTATAGTCTAGTCTATAGTCTAGTCTATAGTCTAGTCTATAGTAGTCTAGTCTATAGTCTAGTCTATAGTCTAGTCTATAGTCTAGTCTATAGTCTAGTCTATAGTCTAGTCTATAGTCTAGTCTATAGTCTAGTCTATAGTCTAGTCTATAGTCTAGTCTATAGTCTAGTCTATAGTCGTCTATAGTCTAGTCTATAGTCTAGTCTATAGTCTAGTCTATAGTCTAGTCTAGTCTATAGACTAGTCTAGTCTAGTCTAATCTAGTCTATAGTCTAGTCTATAGTCTAGTCTATAGTCTAGTCTATAGTCTAGTCTATAGTCTAGTCTATAGTCTAGTCTATAGTCTAGTCTATAGTCTAGTCTATAGTCTAGTCTATAGTCTAGTCTATAGTCTAGTCTATAGTCTAGTCTATAGTCTAGTCTATAGTCTAGTCTATAGTCTAGTCTATAGTCTAGTCTATAGTCTAGTCTATAGTCTAGTCTATAGTCTAGTCTATAGTCTAGTCTATAGTCTAGTCTATAGTCTAGTCTATAGTCTAGTCTATAGTCTAGTCTATAGTCTAGTCTATAGTCTAGTCTATAGTCTAGTATAGTCTAGTCTATAGTCTAGTCTATAGTATAGTCTATAGTCTAGTCTATAGTCTAGTCTATAGTCTAGTCTATAGTCTAGTCTAGTCTAGTAGTCTGGTCTATAGTCTAGTCTATAGTCTAGTCTATAGTCTAGTCTATAGTCTAGTCTACAGTCTTCTCTATAATCTAGTCTAGTCTAGTTAGTATATAGTCTAGTCTAGACTGCCACCAAAGTATAATTCGATAAGGATGTAAACTAGTGGTATTTTTGGTATTCAGTCAAATTAGTTTAAGAAACATTTTCTGTTTTTTTAAACCTTTTTTGTTGCTAATGCATAATCAGAATGTCCTGTTCTTATCGATATATATACATTTATAATCCGATAATTACTCCTAGAAATTTCCAAAATAAACCCAACATAACCTAATACGAAAACAGCAATAACATTAAACTACTATTCAAAGTAAACGGTTTTCAATCCCGGACCCATATTGTGGCATCGGAAATTTATTTACGATTGTCGTTGGTCCCCATAAAACCATTGAAACATTTGCGACCATGTAAATAGCGCGTTTAACTTTTTAATAACTTAATTTTTATAAAAGAAATACTATAATTTTAGATCCTTATAAGAAAGGACAAAATTGTATAAGTATTTCCAATAATGGGCAAAATTGGTACCCATCCCAAATACTTCCAATGTAAATAAACAGCACCCGAATAAAGCTCAAGTAAGATATTTTAAAAAAGACAAGTAAGTGCCACAATAACTTTTAAATAAATTAACAATTTTATAAATAAAATAATTAATTTAAAAATTTTATAAAATATCTGAAATCTAACTCGCCCACAGGTACTTAATCCTCTAGATGCCATTTGTGATCGTAAACGTACCGATGCCATATGTGTATCGAATTTGAAAAATGCTAAAGCGGTGGATAAAAGTGTTTTGGTGGAAAGACCCGATGTGAAAATCTTCTTACCATTCCGTTTCTATGTCTATGAACCGAAAAATCTATTTATACCCAATACATATAATAAATATTTGGGTAAGTTGTGATTTCCCCTAAAATTAAGCAGTAAACGATTATGGAAATATTTTGTATATAATTTTATGTTTTTTTGTGTAAAAATTTTTATGTGTTAAATGTAAAAGAACTAAAAAATGCCCTCAAAAAGGGTTAAAACGTTTAAGACTACTAAAACAATCCCATAAAACGTTTATAGTTCCTTTACTCGTTTAGAGCATAAGTTAATGTTTCGATTTTTCTCTTTTCTCATTTTATAAACATATAAAATACGATAATTTAAACTTATATAGTGGCTCCTAGTGGTGATCACTTGACATCGTTAATAGATGAAATTTCCTATGTAGCACCACCATCACCGATGCTCTCGCAAATACATGACATACCGCCAGAGCTATTCTGTAATGGTGATAATCGTCCACCGAATTGTGGACCCAATTGTGAATGTGTCCACAAAGTTGATATACCATTAGGAGCGGTTGTGGAAGTGGTGTTAGTCGATGAGGTGCAACAGACAAACCTCAGTCATCCATTTCATTTACATGGTACGGCATTCTATTTGGTGGGTTTGGGTCGTTCTCCCGACAAGTCTATTAAGAAAATCAATTTGAAACACACTTTGGAATTGGATCGCATGGGAATGATTGAACGTGATTTTAGCCAGCCGCCTCTAAAGGATACCATTGCTGTGCCCAATAATGGTTATGCTGTCATGAGATTTCGTGCTGATAATCCTGGCTACTGGATGTTCCATTGTCATTTTCTGTTTCACATTGTTATAGGCATGAATCTGGTCTTTCATATTGGTACTCATGCAGATTTACCGCCCGTACCCGATGCATTTCCTACTTGCGGCGATCATAGACCTCCTGTGTCTTTATTTTAAAAACCTCTCTAGAGACCTCTTAACTATAGCATTATTTTAAAACTTAAAAAGGGAGGTTTGTGTCTTAACTTAAATTATTTAATAATTTTTTAATTAGTTTTAAAGAGAAAAAACTAATATGAGTTGATAGAGAGAGAGAAGTAAATGCCTAGTGAAACAAATGAAGGATTGTAAAAACGAATGAGAGAATGTGAAGAGCGTGCCAAGTCATGTTGTGTATATATCAAAAGAAACCTATAAAAATGTTGTTAACCAATTTGCAAGATACTTATTAAGCAGGCTCTTACCAAATTTTATATACTAATCAATCAATCATATCATACCATTTATCCATCATCCACCATTTTATCATCCTAACCAAGTTTACTAAAAATAAAAAATGTTTGATGTAACTAACAGTTCTCTTAAATAACTACTGTTTTTAATTTAAAGTTTTAATATATTTTATACAAAAATTCAATTATAAATAATTTTAAATCAAATGACTTATTTTACATATAAAAATTTTTATCTATAACTTGTTCCAGTTCCTGTACTAGTCTGATTTGCAAAAATAAATCTAATAGTAAACTACTTCTCCGGAAAATCAGACTAGCA